CCCCCTCCAGCTCGAGTTGTTCGCTCGGGTAAGCCTTGTCTAAAACTCTACACCTTAGGGTTTAGACCTAGAAGAACAAAGCCGCATGTTGTATCCCTAGTAGGTACGCTTATTTGCATCATGTGCATTTGACCTTAGGGACTCAACACAGGGGTTGGGTCCGTTAGGACAGGTGTACCCCAAATTAAAAAGACTATCCTGATGCATCTTACGTGCTACTTGTACATTTATTTGATCTGGTTTGTATGTTGACTGACTTCTAGAATAGGAAAAGAAAATCAAAAAAATAAAACCAAGAGTGAGAGGTAGGTATTTGAAAAATTTCGAAACTCTACCAAAACTTTGAAAAAATAAAGAGAAAGAAACCAAAATTTTCAAGTGCCATGTTTCCCTTGTTCCGTCAAAACTGGATGAACTACGCGTGTCTGATTCTCATCGGATGTGAGATACGTATACAAACCTCATCGGTTCCGGCCCCAGTTTTCAAAAATCCAAAAATATTTTCCTTTAATTCCCTCTTTAGAAGTCTTTTCTTAGAAAATCCCAAACAAATTTTAAAAAAAAGAGATTTTCTTTAAAACCCAAGAATATTTTCCTTCTGTTTTGAAGTCTTTCATTCAAAAACAAAACAAATAAAATAATCAATCAAAATCCAAAAATATGTTTTTCCCTTCTTTAGAAGTATTTTTCCAAAAATTAAAAAACAATCAGAAACAAAAATTTAAAAAAACAATCTTTTTATTTTTAAGAAGTCTTCTTTCGCAAATATCATAAAAATTGAAAAGTTGAAGTCCAAAAATATTTTAGCTTTTCTTCACAAGTTCGCTTTCGGAAATTATAAAGAAAACTCAAAAAATGAAAATTTTCTACCTTTTTTTAGAAGTCTATTTCCCAAAACTTCAAAAAAAAAAAATCAAATCAAAAGTCCAAAAATATTTTCTTTCTTCTTTAGAAGTCTTTCTTTCGAAAATTTCAAAAATCAAAACCAAAAATCAAAAAATATTTTCTTTCCTCTTTAAAAGACTTTCTCGCGCAAAATTCCCAAAAAAGAAAACGAAATGCAAAAAATATATATTCTTTTTCTAAACGCTTTCATTGTGTGAGTGTTATAAAGAAGTAAAAAAAAGAGAGAGTTAATTTATTTACTCCATTCCTGATATTCCTGACCTACGTAATAATCTGATTCATGCGGCGTCATGATACGTAGGCAATCCCCATCGGATTCGATCATAGCCATAAAATTAATTGAGTGAAAAAATAAAATGAATAAAAAAAAGGAAAAAATTGAGTAAAAAAGAAAGAAAAGAGCGACAAAAATAAAAGAAACAAAGAGCGACAAAAAAATAAATAAAAGAGTGACAAAAACAGAAAGAGAAAATGAGAATGCCAAAAATAAAAGAGCG